CAGGAGAGGCAAGAGCAGGGTAGGTCCAAGAAAGGACTCATGGCATCCAGAGGTTCCTGAAGGGCATGGATGCCACATGAAGCACCACTGACCTTGATACAGGGACCTTGATGTCACAGGGCCCAGAACACAGCTGCCACGGGTGCATGCTGCCACCTCCTGCTCACAGGGGCCTACCCTCAGACTTGGGCAGAACTGCCATGGCCACCTCTTAGATGGAGGAAGCAGGATGGACTGAGCACAAAGGGGAGCAGTGAAGTAAAGAGGGGTTTAATGACACAAAGGCTATGCAGCCTGGGGGAGCAGGGGGTATAGATGTGGGGAAGCAGGTTTGCCCACCTGTGAATGAACAGACGACTTCCCAAACACTGCCAGGACACCCTTGGGCGACGGACGCACTAACACAGAGATCTTTTCATGGTAACAAAATACACTGTGACATTTAACATAAGAGACTGCTGAGGACGGCACAGGAAGAAGTCATTTCTCAGCAAGGAGCTGCTGAGGCTGGCATTTCCGGTGCCTGAAGGAAGCTTGTTCTCCTTAGAAGGAGCAGCTGGCTGATGACAAGGCTCAAGCCTCCCTCATCGGGAGCTGAGGGCCCAGCTAGGGGTCTTGATGAGCACATGACACTCACTGCCTGTTCCCTGCTCCAAGTGGATGTAGCCAGGCAGCCTGGGGTGACCTTCAGGGCTTCCTGCCCTCCCCTGCACACACCTACCGGGAATCTAGAGGGCCAGCTTTATAGATGTGACACCATGGTCTCCACCTTCCTAAAGTCCCTGCCCCACCCATTACTGTCATTGATATGTGTCTAGTCCCCTGGCCACTGCCCGACTTGGGACCCGGGACCTGGCCCTTCTTCCTGCTCTTCCTGCTGGTAACTGCTCCCAGTCCCTCTCCTCCAAGGCCCCTCAAGAAGCCTGTGGGGCCTGCATCTGCTGGAATGGACTCTGCTCACAGAAACTGGTGGCTGGACCTGGGGGTGTGTATTTTTCCAATGCCTCCTCTACTGACCTTTAATTACACTGTTTGCCCAGCTTCCCAAACCATTAACTTCACCTCGCAGCAACCATACATCAATTAACGGAGGGCCCGCTCCGAGCCTGAGCTCCTGAACACAATTAGGCGTGACAGTCCACAAATAAGAAAGAAGTGGAGAATTAATTAAGGTCTAAGCAAATTAATTGCCAGTCCTCAATCGATTCTGATGCCAGCGCACATGCTCCTGGGCTCACTGTCTTTGCTAACATCTCCATGTATAAATAGAAACTGTGATCTCCCACACGATTGCTGTTCTAGACCAGGGGCACAGCATGGCCCTGAAACCGCCTCTCTCCAAGGGGAGAGAAATGGCTGCAGTGAGCATCCCGGGACTTCCCACGTACTCAGCACACGTGCATCCACACACATCAGTCATGTGACACAGGCGCGCGCGCGCGCGCTAACACACACACACACACACACACACACACACTCTGAAAAACTAGGGGGGAACTTGGAGGCAGAACAGGGAGGACACTGTGGCTGCCTGTGGCCACAGTGCTCGGTTTCTCAGCTATAGGAGTGAGGGGCTATCCCATGGGGCTTGAAAGAGCCCTGGGCTGGGAGGCCTGGGCTTTGGCCAGCTCAGTATCTCTTACAGCAAGTCCGACTTTGTTGATTCTTCTGTAAGAGGGGGATGGCACACTGTGCCTTCGGACCCTCCCAGCACAGAATGAGGAGAACTGAGGGAGGAGAGAGGCCTGCTGGGGAACATGAGGGGAGCTGTGCAGCCTCCAAGAGCTCTGCAAACCTCAGGAGGCCTGCAGTCACAGAGGTCCCAGTGGGAAGGGGCTGAAGGGAGGTCTGGTCAGAGGCCTCATTTCCAGATGAGGAGACAGCAGGTAGGATGGGGTAGGAGTGGTGGAGTTTGGTGTCGGGCCCAGGCACATGTGCCTCAGGCCACTCTTATATGGCGTGTGACCTACCTCCCAGGCTTCAGGCTGGAGCCTGCGGAGGAGCTGGCAGAGCCTTGGGAAAAAGAAACTGATTCCTGGGTCTTCCTTGTTCCCCAGAGCTTGAGTTCCCAGCCAGCTCAGAAGGATGAGCTGGGATATGGCCTCTGACCACAGAGTAGAAGCCTCTTCAGGAGCCTCCATCACCCTGAAGACCCCCCTACACTCCACTCACATCCCAACAACGAGGGTCTAAATATGATCATTTCCACTTGCCCCAACCTCCTTCCCATGTGCACTCATCACTTACTGATTCCTGTCTCTGCAAGCAGCCTAAAGGGACAGGGGACCCTCCACAAGGTCAAGCACAGCCTGGGCCAGCTTCTTGGTCACCTTTAATGGTGGCCCAGCCTAGTCTGGCCTAGCCTTGGAGTTCTGGAGTGAACGCCGGGTGAGACCTATGCCCTGCCAGCACCCAGTGCAGCTTAGAGATACTCTGTCTGGCTAAGGGTACCTGGGGATAAGGTAAAGAGGGGCCAAGCACAGGGACTGGACAGTGGCCTGAGAGAACCAAGAGACTTTTGAGTCCCTGGAGGGTAAGGGCCATACCTATTCATCTTGCAACTGTGTCAACATTGATTAGGGCTGTCCGCAAGAGCCCACTTGAAGATGAGAGGGCTGGGCATGGGGACCAGTGAGATGGAAGCCTGTGTGTGGGGAGGGAAGACTGGGGCTGGGGCAGAAGTCAGGCAGACACCCAGCCAGGACTCAGCAGCCAGGCCAGAGAAGAAGCCACAAAGAGCCTGCCTCTCTGAGCTAGGACCGTCAGGGCTGAAAACCACATTATGCAACCCTCGAGGGATGTGCAGGATCTCAAGACCCCAACAGTGGCTGCACCTGTGGGAGCGGCTGAAGCCTCATTCCCAGAAAGAAGAGAGGAGGGGAATTAGGCTGGAGCCTGAAGAGGGGCAGATCATAAAGTCTCAGACCTTTAGCAGGGACCCTCCTCCTGAAGGTGTCCCAGAGAGGTAAAGACCACTCCAAGGTCACACAGCAAGATGGCTGGTAGGGCTGGAATGGGCCCCCCGGCAAAGTTCTTATCTAAAGCTTGGCTAAGGACAGATTACATCTTGGCTGAATCCCAGATCCAGCCCAGTGCAGCCAAGTGCTGCCCCTTCTCAGGCTGCATCTGACCCTGCAGGCTGAATGGCCAGGAACACCAGTTGCGTAGCCGTGTTTGCTTTATTAGGCTCCTTAACGAAGTTAGATCTAAAGGGTTATTACATTAATGGCCCAGGACAGAAATAGCTGAAAGTTCATTAAAAGTGTGGAGTTACCATAGCAATTATCTGGGCCAGCTGAGGCTGAGCCAGGTGGCTGGTTCGGGGAGTTTATTAGCCTCTGGGCCATCCAGGGGTGGGACTGCCCAGCAATGACCTCCTACCCTCTCACAGGGGCTTTGCAGGTGCTTCAAAGCACCTTCTCTTCAGTGGAAACTGGTTTGTGGCCTCAGTTGCTCCTCCCAGAGCTCTGGGCTGTAGGAAGGTGGGTACTGGTGCCCACATTTTACAAATGGAGAAGCAGGGCCCTGGAGATGATGATCAGGGTCAGGACTGTGAGCCTGAGTCTGACTCTGCCTCTTCAGACTGTGCCTTGGTGCCACAGAGGGCATGGGTCCTCATGCCCTGTGTAGGGCCTGTCCCTGTCATCCTAGGGCACAGATGGGGAGCTCCAGTGTTATGGTTCAAGCACTGGTTTATCCTTCTCTCTTGACAACAAACTATGCACTGCCCTTACATTGCTCTCAATATTATTTCTTTTGGGTTTTAAAAACTCCTTCCACTATTTTGTCCTTCTCCCCAAACAAGGTGTCGGCTTCTTAAGGGCCAGGCAAGGCTTTGTGGTATCTCCAAGGCCCCGGCCTGGGGCATCTATCGAGAGCTCATAGACTCCGAGTTCAGCAAAGATGCAGCTGAAGGCAGGAAAATCCCCTCCACATATACCTGTGTGCCCACAATCACCTGTGTAGAGCAAAGGCCTCTGAAACCTAGAGGGTCACAATGCCCAAAGGCTTGAAACCTATACTAGCAGAAGCTTCCAACCTTCTGGCAGGCTGGTGAGGCCTATATACCCCTCTCAGAATAATTTTCTAAATGCGTAAAACAAATATAGGATCACAAAGGGATCATCCTGAAAGAACCTATCAAACTATTTTTAAACTGTGATATAGTAATAGATGAGCTTTTTAACTAAAGAATTAAAAACAAGATCTATCAGTTGATGTATTAAATATGAATTAGCGGCTGGTCATGGTGGCTCAAGCCTGTAACCCCAGCACCTTGGGAGGTTGAGGCAGGTGAATCACGAGGTCAGGAGTTCAAGACCAGCCTGGCTAAGATGGTGAAATGCCATCTCTACTAAAAATACAAAATTAGCTGGGCATGGTGGTGCATGCCTGTAATTCCAGTTACTTGGGAGGCTAAGGCAGGAGAATTGCTTGAATCCGGGAAGTAGAGGTACAGTGAGCCGAGATCATGCCACTGCACTCTGGCCTGGGTGACAAGAGCAAAACTCTGTCTCAAAAAAAAAAAAAATGATGATATGAACTAGTGTTGAGCATAAATGATATTTTAAGATTTCTGTAACAACTGTAATGTGCCATGAACACATCTGTGATTTCTACTGGTGACAAAGTCACAGGTCCTGCTTCTGACTGGTTTGCTGCCTACATTCGTCACAGAAGGAAATGTTAAAATGCAGTTAGAGGTTAATGTACATCTTTTCCCAGACCAAGCTCATGGGATCTGCAGCATTCTGTCTATTGACCCTTGGGGGTCTGGGACCCCAGGCTAAGAATCCCTATGCTAAAAGCAGAATCTCAGCATGGAGCTGGGACCTGCTCCCACGATCCTGTCTTTTAGCCACATATTTTGTGCCAATCCCCCTAGCCAGGTACCCTGTGGGAATCAGGAGAGGTGTAGAAGGGTCATCTGTCTCCCAGGAGCCCCGCGGTCCGCCATACCCACCCACAGTACACATCTCTATGTGCTGTACAGGTCTTACCTACAGCAGGGAACGGCACAAACCTCTGGATGAGAAGGCGGGTGGCTGGGGTGAACTTGTTGGCTTTCTGAACCAGGACATTAAGGCCCACCTTGGAAAGAAAAAATAAGAACACAGAAAAAGTACATGAGGCTGCAGTGGCTTCTGGGAGGAGGGGCTGGACTGAAGGAAGACCAGAGAGTGGGGGATGTCATCTTTTCCCGCAACTGCACCTCACACACCTAATCCTCAGCATCACCTGAGGTTGGAGAGCTCCAGTGTGGCTATTTAAAGTACCACTGCCCAGTCATCCCAGGTAACCAGCCCATGAGAAAGAGGGAGAGAGGTAAAGCATCAGACACATACACACACATTTACACACTCACAGACACGCTGCCGAGGGGAAAAGGGATGGGATGGCGTGGCAGTTGCTGCTAGAAGGATATATACTCCATGAATAAATGTAAACATAGGAAGGCCTCATTCCCACCCCAGCCCTAAGCACCACCTTTCTGAAACCCCACAGTAGGCCCAAGTCTGGGCCCAGCCAGACCGTAAGGACTCAGGACAGAGAGACCCCCACACCTGCCCACAGGCTGCAGGACTAAGTAGCATAGCTGAGAGCAGGATGGAGGGTGAGAGAGACATCCTGGACTCGTTGTCATCACCTTCACTCCTGTTACCTGGCCCAGGATGCAGGTGCCTCACCGCAGCCCCTGCCTGCCTCATCACTCCAGTCCATCGAGTCCATCCCCTAGACCCTTTCATCTTTCTAAAGCACAGACTTTCTCACGTCTGCCACATCAGGTCCTCTCTATGACCAACCTGCCTGAGAAGGTGTCAACTCCTTCGCACAGTGGCCTTGGCCTCCATAACCTCTTCCCCACTTCCCAAACCCCATGTTCAACCCCAAGAGTCCAGTTTGCTGTTCATCAGATGCTCCGTGAGCCTGGGATGCCTCCCTCCTCTACTCAGTCCACACCTGTTCTATCAGGCCCACCTCTGAGTTCCACCTCCAGTATCACTTACAGTGGGACCTTAAGCAGGTAAGTCATTTCATCTTTTTCTGCCTCAGTTTACCTATCTGTAAAAAGGGATGGTAATACCTACAATATCCGAGCGCTGGTATAAGAATGCATGTAAAGTGTTGGAAATCAGACTAGGAGTTGAGTTGAGAGGCCTCTGCTTCCCCAGACAGAGGCCAAAGCCAGCCCCTGCACTGTCTTTCCTGGCAAGCGGGGGAGGAGCTGTGGCAGGACTCCTGGCCTGATAAGCCGGGGCAGCCTGCTGTCAGCTCTGGCACACCTGGCGGCTCAGCAGGCCACCCTGTGCCCTCAGGCCTGGCTCTGGCTTTAATGTTATGGGTGGCTGGCAAAGACGCAGAGCCTTGGGAAGGCCTTCAGGGCTGCCAGGATCCTGCTGCTGTTGGGGCAGGATGCGGCAAGGCAGAAACAGCCCAGACCAAGCTGCAACTGTGAGACCCAGGAAGACAACAGCATCCTGTGGAGCCAGAGTGCTTCCTGGGAAACCCAGCCTGGGTTCTCAGGAACAGAGCCTCCATCTTCAGTCTCAGGCTGATCCTCAGAGTCCAGTCCTTGTCCTCCCAGCTCGCTTGAGGGAAGGCTGGGAGGCAGGCAGGGGCATCACAGTGTGGACACACTTCAGTGGTATCGAGGGCAGGGCTGGGGAGCTGCCGGCTCACACTGGGCCCTGCTGCCCCCGCTACACGAATGGAATTCAAGTCCAGGAGCGAGTGACTAAGAAATGGTCTCCCTCACCCCCAAAAAAGTGCACTGAGAGAAAGCGTGGGAGGAGGCTGGAGGACACGCAGACGGGCAGTAGTGATAAAGAGGACGGGGGCCCGGCAGATGTCAGCGAGCACCTCCTACGTGAGGCCACTCAGCACATATTCACATGAAATACCTTAATGAGATCCCCACGACAAGGCTTTTGGATAGACCACGTTGGCCCTTTTTACAGATAGAGACAGGTCCAGAGAGGTTAAATAATTTTGCTCAAGGATAGACAGCTATTATGAGGCAAGTAAAGCTAGGATGTGAACACAGAGCCTGCTAGTTTCAGTGCTTTCCTCCTAAGCACGATGCTATCACTTTTCCATTGCCTTCCGCCTGAAGGAGGGAATCGTTCACGTCCACATGCCTTTTAATGGCACATCTGCATAGCAAGCACCTCCCTGATAACGGCCACCTTGGGCCAGGGGTCCAGAGGGTGGAAAATAGAAGGCAACTCCTGCAGGGAAGATAGGGCCTTGAACCACCTGTCCCTGGCAGCCGGAAGTCAGAAGATCTGGGTTCAAAATCCTGCATGCCAATTTGAGAGGATGCAGAAAGTGCTGGAAGAGGTGGGGAGCAAAAGCCATTCCCTTAAGGAAGTGAGAGCAGAGAGGCTGGGACCTTCCCCAGGACAGCCTCTTGGAGGTAGGCAGGGCTGCAGAGCAGCAGGAGGGAAAGGAGGAAAAGCAGCTGTCACATTTGCCTCCCTCTCTCGGAAGCCTTCCACCCACTGTTGGCCGTTCTTCCTGGCTAGGACTGGCATAGCCCAGAGTGAGCGACCCACCCTGTCTCCCCCATCCCAGGGTAGGGAGGAAGAACAAAGAGAAAACAATTTCCTTGTCCCAGGTTTCTGGCCCCTCCTTCCCTGAAGTTCACCAGGGTCTGCCAGCATGTATGAGTGACATTTAGTGGGGCACATATATGTTTCTGAGAGTATGACCAACATGCCTGAGCCCAAGAAAGGGGCTGGGGACCAGCAAAGTGGGGAGGAGACCTGGGCATGTATGTAACTGACTTCAAGAGGAGTCAGTGAGGTTACACTGCCCAATGGCAGGGAGGGCGTGGACACAGAGGAGGCAAATGGCCACTTACCCTTACCCCTTCCTGGGCCCCAGCCCAAGTCTTACCACCCCAGCACCTAGGACAGCCATAGCCTGAGAAGGAACCCAAGATGGCTGCAGACCAGGGGTCAGGAGCCCGTCTGTTCTGGTTCTTCAGGGCCCTTTGGTCTGGAACATTTGGTGGAGCCCGTTAAAATTAAAAAGCCAAGAGGCTGGTGGCTCTGAATGCCAGCTCGTTTTCCCTGGCACAGTGGGTCCTGTTTAAGGGAACCAGCTGGTATTAATGGCACACAGCTCATCACAAACAGCAGCTAGCAATCAGAAAAATCAGAGCTAATAATCGGGTTCAGGAAAGATAATGAGATGTGGAACAATGACTGCTGAGGGTCCCCAGGGTCTGTTTTAACAGCATCCAAATAAGCCACAATAGAAATTAACCAAATAGGAGCTCCATTTTGGTAGATGGGGAAAACAAACAGGGTGTGGATTCTGCGCAAGAGTTTCCCATATGGCCAGCAGACAGGAATTCTGGGAAAACCAAGCCTCAGGCCCCACAGGACATCAGCAGCATCCTGAAGGAGGCAATAGGCCTTCCTGACCACCTATCTCCAAGATCTGGCTACTGGGCCAGCGAATTTGCCATAAGCAGCTGAAAGAAGACAAGGGGAAAAGCGGGGGAAAGGCCAGCTTCATGACAGTCCCCATGGAGATGGGAACAGGGCCGACCCGCACGAGGAACTGTGGGTGGGGTGGGAGCTTCAGACACCAAATCTTTAGTGTCATGAGCTACGCAGCTGGTGGCTATAGCCATAAGTACCAAGGGCTTTCTGGGCCAACTGCAGGCCAGCAAGGAGACACTGGATGGGGCTGGAAGAATGCCTGCATCCCTCTCCCCCATCTGCGTCCCCACTCCAGCCTGAATATCCATCGCCTGGCAGATGCCTCTGTGTCCAAGGGCTCCAGGCGCTCCACCTTCTCACACCCCAAATGAAGGCTGTCTCGCTCTTCCTCACCCGCACCCCAGCCTCCTCGCCCATTCCCAGCTCTGCTTCTCATGCCAGAGACCTCAGAGCATTCCTGGGCAGGAGCCTCCCCAAGCCCATATGTAACCATGGCACCTTGGTGCATCTCCCGGATGTCATGAATGCAGCTGTTTGCTCTCCCTGCTCCCACTGCTCAGCACACAGCCTCTCTCCCTGGATGACTGTGTGCCACCTAACCAGGCTCCCTGCTTCCACTCTTGCCCCCAACCATCTACTCTCTACAGCAGTCACAGTGAAGTCTGAAAACTCAAGGAGACTTACTTAAAGCCTTCAGTGGCACTGGAAGAGCCACAGAGCCCTGCAGGACTCCTTGGGTTGCTTGCTTGCTTGCGAGGATCCGGCTACCTGCTATGAGGAGGTGCCTTGAGGGAGTGGGCCCAAGGTTCATGAGGCTCCTGAGGAAGGGGATGCTTAACTGAGCCCTGAAGGATGAGTAGGAGGCTAGGAAGGGAGCGGAGCTCAGCTGAGAATCAGAAGCATGAAATACAAGTTGTCCGCAGGGCACTCAGACGACAGTCTGCAGACTCTGCTGTACCAGTCATTATGAAGGTCCAAATGACCCTGAAGAATAATGGAGTAAGGGACATGCCTAAAAGGAGGGTCCCTCTTGGTGGTAGATAACAATGTAACCAAGGGTTAGGGGTTTGTATGGGCACTGTGAGCAAGGGTTGGGGAAGGTCAAGGAATCACTGAAGTACCAACAATATCCACCAGAGGGCGCACTTGGTAGACCGCATTGGTGGTCAAGTGGACCCAAGACCCTCCATGGAGGTCAACTATTCTCCAACCCCCAGCCAGCCTGTTGCTTGGCAATGGAGTCAGCAGGAAAGTGGCCAAGTAGCTGGGCAGACCTCTGCACAGGCTAAAACATCAGTTGCTCCAGCAGTGACCAAATGGCTTGTTTGCTGGCAATAGTGACCAACCCTGACCTCTAAAGCATGCCTCACAAGGGCTGGGGGCTGCCTGCTGGGAAACTGATTACATCAGACCCCTTCTACATAGGAGGGGGCAACAACTTGTCCTACCCAGAAAAGACACAGAGCTGCTTTTAGTGTCTGACCCACACTGCCACAGTCACTGTCTGCAGGCTTCTGAACACTGCAGATTCTGCTACAGGGTCCATGCCATGGGCCCTCCAAACCCAAAGCCACGCCCTGAACCCAGCAAGACAATAGTCTGGTTCAGGATTCCCAGGTGCTGTCGCCCTGCTACCTT